GAGTGTTGGATTTTATCAAAAGCTTTCTCTGCATCTATTGAGATGATCATGTGGTTTTTGTATTTGACTCAGTTGATATGGTATATTACATTTATTGATTTGGATATGTTGAACCATCCCTGTATCCCTGGGATGAGTCCTACTTGGTCATGGTGTGTAATCGGATGATTTTCTGAATTCTGTTTGCCAGTATCTTCTTGGGGAATTTTGCGTCTATGTTCATTAGGGAGCTTGGCCTGTAGTTCTCTTCTTTGGTTGGGTCCTTCTTTGGTTTTGCTATCCAGGAATGAATTTGGGAGTAATGTAATGTTTGTATCCAGGAATGAATTTGGGAGTATTGCTTCCCTTTCAATTTCATTAAAGAGTTTGAGAAATAGTACTATTAGGTCTTCTCTAAATTTCCTGTAGAATTCAGCAATGAATCCATTAGGGCATGGACTATTCTTTGTAGGTTTTTAATTGTATTTCAATTTCATTGACCAATATGGCTTATTTAGAATTTTTATATGTTCTTTATTCAGCTTTGGTAATTCATATGTACCTAAGAATTTGTCTATTTCTTCTGTGTTTTCCATCTTATTACAATAGAGTTTCTTGAAGAAGGTATTGATCTTTTGGATTTCTGCAGGTTCTGTTGTGATGTCACCTTTTTATTCCTAATTGCCTGGATTTGACTCTTTTCTTCTTTTTTGATAAGGTTGGCTAAGGGTTTGTGAGTTTTACTTAATCTTTCACAAAACAAACTCTTTGATCATTGACTCATTGTATTGTTTTCTTAGTCTCTATTGCATGAATTTCTGTTCTGATCATTATAATTTCCTCCCTTGTATAAGCTTACGGCTTGATGTGTTCTTCTTTTGTGAGTAGCTTGAGGATCACTATTAGATTGTTTATTGTTTTGAGCTTGTTCTGTTTTTTCTGATATGGGAATATACCACTATTAAATTCCTTCATAGAACTGTTTTCATTGTGTAGTAAAAGATCTGGTATATCGTATTTGCATTATCTTTTAATCATCTAATTTCTTTAATTTCATCTGTGACCCATTGGTTCTTCAAGAGGGTGTTATGTGGTTTTCTTTCCAACACTCGTTCATGATTAAAAAAAAAAAAAACAAACAAAACCCTACAGAAAACCACCATTTCTTGTGGTTTCTTTTGCCATTGATTTTCAATTTTATTGTACTTTGGTCTGATAATGTGCAGAATATGCATGGGATAGTTTAAATTCCTTTGCATTTACCTAAGCATGTTGTATGAGCTAGTATGTGGTATATTTTGGAGACTATCCTGTGTGCAGGATAAGAAGAACGTGCATTTTGATGTGGTGGGCTGGAACACTTTGTAAACATCTACTGATTCCACTTGTTCAAAAGTTTGGTTTAGTTCTGATATTTCCTTTTGATTTTTTATCTAGTTGATCTGTCTGTTTGTGACAGTGGGGTTATTGAGGGCCTCCATTACAATTGTATTAGTGCTTTTTAATTTTTTTCTTTTCTTTTCTTTTATCTTTTTGAGACAGGGTCTCACTATGCAGTTCAGGCTGGCCTTGAGCTCACGTTGTAACCCAGGCTGGTTTTGAACTCCTAACAATCCTGTCTCAGCCTCCCAAGTACTGGGATTACAGGCGTGTGCCACCACACCTGGCTTGTATTAGTGCTTATTTGATTTTTTATGTCCATTGGTATTTTTTTTATGTAGTTGGGTGTGCTGGTATTTGATGCATATATATTTATGATTGTTACCTCTTCCTCTTGGATTGCTCTCTTTATAAGGAGGTAGTGACCTTCATTGTCTCTCTTAATCAGTCTTGCTTGAAATTCACCTTGCAAATAAAATAGCTACTCCTGCTGTTTTCTGGGTTCTTGTTGCATGAGGTATGGTTTTCCATCCTTTGACTTTCATTCTGTGAATTTCTTTCTGAATTAAATGTGTTTCTTGAGTGTGGCATATTATTGTATCTTGCTTCTTGATCCATTTTGCCAGTCTGTTTCTTTGGATTGGTGAATTGAGACCATTAACGTTGATGGTAATAACTGATATATATTGACTAATCCTTGTCATGTTACTTTCTTGTTGTTGGTTTTCTTTTCTTCCCCTCTCTGTTTAATTGCTTACCTAGCCTGGTGTATTCATTCCGTTGGGTTTCATAGAGTTATAGGCCTTTTATCTCTAGAATGGCCTTCAGAACATTTTGCACTGGTGGTTTTTGTGGTCATGAATTTTTTCAGATGTTCTTTGTCATAGAAGTATCTTATTTCTCCGTCAATTTTGAAGGATAGTTTTGCAAGGTACATCAATCTGGGTTGGAGGTTGTTTTCTTTTAGGCCTTAAAATACTTCATTCCAAGCTCTCCTTGACTTGAGGCTTTGTATTGAGAAGTGTGCTGTGA